CTTTAAATTTTTGAAGAAAGAAACTGAAGAAGACATAAGAAAATGGAAAGATATCCCATGCTCTTGGATAGGTAGAATTAACATAGTAAAAATGGCAATCTTATCCAAAGCAATCTGCAATGCCCAGCAAAATTCTTCACAGACCTCGAAAGAACAATACTCAACTTCATCTGGAAAAACAAAAAAGCCAGGATAGCCAAAACAATCCTGTACAATAAAGGAACTTCTGGAGGCATCACAATCCCTGACTTCAAACTCTACTACAGAGTTACAGTACTGAAAACAACCTGGTATTGGCATAAAAAAAAAAAGACAGGAGGACCAATGGAGCCAAATCAAAGACCTAGATATCAATCCACATACCTATAAACACCTGATTTTTTACAAAGAAGCAAAAAATATAAAATGGAAAGAAAAGAAAGCATATTCAACAAATGGTGCTGGCATAAATGGATATCAACATGTAGGAGAATGAAAATGGATCCCTATCTATCGCCATGCACAAAAATCAAGCCCAAATGGATCAAAGACCTCAACATAAAACCAACCACACTGAACCTCACAGAAGAGAAAGTGGGCAGTACACTTGAATGCATTGGCACAGGAGACCACTTCCTAAATATAACTCCAGTAGCACAGACATGGAGAGAAACAATTAATAAATGGAACCTCCTGAAATGGAGAAGCTTCTGTAAAACAAAGGACACAGTCAACAAAACAAAATAGCAGGCTACAGAAATGGGGAAAGATCTTCACCAACCCCACATCAGACAGAGGGCTGATCTCCAAAATATACGAAGAACTCAAAAAATTGATCATCAAAAGAACAAATAATCCAATAAAAATGGGGTACAGACCTAAACAGAGAACTCTCAACAGAGGAATCTAAAATGGCTGAAAGACACTTAAGGAAATGCTCAACATCCTTAGCCATCAGAGAAATGCAAATCAAAACAACTCTGAGATTCCATCTTACACCTGTAAGAATGGCCAAGATCAAATGATGACAACTTATGCCGGAGAGGTTGTGGGGAAAAGGGAACACTTCTGCATTGCTGGTGGGAGTGCAAACTAGTCCAGCCACTTTGGATATCAGTATGGTGATTTCTCAGAAAATTAGGAAACACCCTACTTCAAGACCCAGCAATACCACTTTTCCGTATATACCCAAAGGATGCTCAATCATACCACAAGGACATGTGCTCAACTATGTGCATAGCAGAATTGTTTTTCATAGCCAAAACCTAAAAAAAAAAAATCCTAAATGCCCCTCCACCAAAGAATGGATATAGAAAATGTGGAACATTTACACAATTAGGAGTACTACATGGCAGAAAAAATATCAACATCTTGAAATTTGCAGGAAATGGATGGATCTAGAAAACATCATATTGAGTGAGGTAACTCAGACCTAGAAAAACAAATATCGTATGTACTCACTCATAAGTGGCTTTTAGACACAAAGCAAAGAAAACCAGCCTACAAATCACAACCCCAGAGAACCTAGACAACAAAGAGGACCTTAAGAGAGACATACATGGATCTAATTTACATGGGAAGTAGAAAAAGACAAGATCTTCTGAGTAAATTGGGAGCATATGGATCATGGGAGAGGGCAGGATGGAAGTAGAAAAAATATATAGCTTAATAAAAACAATTTAAAAATGACGCTGTTTGTGTAGAAAAATCCTGGGACTAACAATAAAAAGAAGAAACTTCTTTCATAAGATCCAGCTGTAGGCCACTTCCTACGTATAACCCCAGCAGCACAGACAGTAAGGGCCTCATTGAATAAATGGGACCTCCTGAGACTGAGAAGCTTCTGTAAAGCAAAGGACACTGTTGCTAAGACAGAAAGGCAACCCACTGACTGGGAGAAAATCTTCACCAAACCCGCAACTGACAAAGGTCTGATCTCCAAAATATATAAAGAAACTAGACTGTAAAAGGCTAATCAACCCAATTATAAAATGGGGCACTGAGCTGAACAGAGATCTCTCAACAGAAGAAGTTCAAATGGCCAAAGGACACCTAAGGTCATGCTCAACTTCCTTAGCGATCAGGGAAATGCAAATCAAGACAACTTTAAGATACCATCTTACACCTGTCAGAATGGCGAAAATCAAAAACACCAATGATAGCCTTTGCTGGAGAGGTTGTGGAGAAAGGGGTACACTCATCCATTGCTGGTGGGAATGCAAACTTGTGCAACCACTCTGGAAAGCAGTGTGGAGGTTTCTCAGGAAATTTGGGATCAACCTACCCATGGACCCAGCAATACCACTCTTGGGAATATACCCAAGAGAGGCCTTATCACACAACAAAAGTATATGCTCTACTATGTTTATAGCAGCATTGTTTGTAATAGCCAGAACCTGGAAACAACCTAGATGCCCTTCAATTGAAGAATGGATGAAGAAAGTATGGAATATATACATATTAGAGTACTACTCAGCAGTAAAAAACAAGGACTTCTTGAAGTTTGCAGGCAAATGGATGGAAATAGAAAACACCATCCTGAGTGAGGTAAGCCAGACCCAAAAAGAGGAACATGGGATGTTCTCACTCATATTTGGTTTCTAGCCATAAATAAAGGACATTGAACCTATAATTCGGGTTCTTAGAGAAGCTAAATAAGAAGGAGAACCCAAAGAAAATCATATAGGCATCCTCCTGAATATTAAACTTCATCAGGCGATGAAAGGAGACAGAGACAGAGACCCACATTGGAGCACCGGACTGAAATCTCAAGGTCCAAATCAGGAGCAGAAGGAGAGAGAGCACAAGCAAGGAACTCAGGACCGCGAGGGGTGCACCCATACACTGAGACAATGGGGATGTTCTATCAGGAACTCACCAAGGCCAGCTGGCCTGGGTCTGAAAAAGCCTGGGTCAAAACTGGTCTCGCTGAACATAGCGGACAAGGAGGACTACTGAGACCTCAAGAACAATGGCAACGGGTTTTTGATTCTACTGGACCTATTGGTTTCGTGGGAGCCTAGGCAGTTTCGTGGATGCTCACCTTACTAGACCTGGATGGAGGTGGGTGGTCCTTGGACTTCCCACAGGGCAGAGAACCCTGATTGCTTTTTGGGCTGACGAGGGAGGGGGACTTGATTGGGGGAGGGGGAGGGAAAGGGGAGGCGGCGGTGGGGAAGAGACAGAAATCTTTAATAAATAAATAAATTAATTAAAAAAAATCCAGCTGTAGGGCATTTTCTTAATCAGTATTGTTGGAGGAGGGCTCAGACCACTGTGGGTGGTGGCACCCCTGGGCTCTACAAGAAAGCAGGCTGAGTAAGCCAAGAGGAGCAAGCCAGTAAGCAGCCCCCCTCCGTGGCCTTTGCATCAGTTCCTGCCTCCAGGTTCCCGTCCTGCTTGAGTTCCTGTCCTGACTTCCTTCAGTGATGGACTATGTTGTGGACGCATAAGACAAATAACCCTCTTCTCCCCTATGTCGCTTTGGTCTTGGTTTTTTATCACAGCCATAATGACCCTAAGACGGACGCCATGAACATTCTCAAAGAGAATGGGCTGAGAAGACCCATCCTAAATACAGACAGCTGGAGTGGATGGCTGGGGTCCCGAGCTGAATAGGGAAAGAAGGAAGCAAACTGAGGGCAGCATCTCTCTCTCTCTTTCTTCCTGCTCCCTTTTTTCAGTGGCTCAGTGGGTTGAGTGTTTACCTAGCATGAGGCTCTGTGTTTGGGCTTTGACGCCACCTAAACCTGGGCATGGTAGCACACCTGGAATCCTAGCACTACAGAAGTGGAGGAGGGAGGATCGTGAGACCTGGAATCTTCAGCTCCATAGCGAGCTTCAGGCACACAGCAGCTACAGAAGACATCGTCTCTAAAAGGAAAAGAAGACAGAGAAAAAACCAAGCAGTTTGACTCTAAAGTTTATATTATTTGTTTGTGTGCTTGCTTGCTTGTTTTTCAAGACAGGGTTTCTCTATGTATCTTTGGTGCCTATTCTGGAACTCTGTAGACCAGGCTGGCCTTGAACTCACACCTGACTCTGCCTCCCAAGTCCTGGGATTAAAGGTGTGCCACCACCACCGGCCTAAAGTTTGTATTCTTAGAGTGGCGTGCTGAAGTCCAAACTTGCCCCACAAACACTCAAACCTGCTGTCTTTTCTCACTGTGCCATTGTTTGTTCATCATTGATGGTGAGAACATTTTAATCCTCTGTTAACAAAAAGATAAAGCGCTAATTTTTAAACCATTGGAAGGAAAACCAGTGGTGCTGCCAAAGCCATACCCCTTCAGTCAGAGCCTTCAATGGAGTTCAGACCTTTTCTGGGCTGGCAGTGTGTGGCACTGTCTTCTCTAGTGGCACTGGGAGCCGCGGGCAACCTAATACTGTGTGGGTCAGCAAAGCGATCAAAGAGCTCCAGGGCCCGAGGTTGCTAAGCTATGAAGCTGGGTGGAGCCTGAGCCTGCAGCTTGCCATCGGTTTACTGTGACATATTTCCACTGGAACTCGAGGGTCATGCTGTACTTTCAAGATAGAAATAAATCACAGAATGGCAAGATCCACAGGCCCCGCCAACCCTCCCACCCTTGCCAGCTCTGGCCCTAGACCTCCTCTTCCACGCTCCTCGCTGTAGGGCAAGCTCATCCCCAGCACTAGGCCTTTCTGCCAGTAGTCACATATCCCTCATGAATCTGCCTTCGAACCAATCAGCAAATACCCGTGTCTGCTGCGATGTCCCGTGAAGTACCCTCACTGCCACCATGAGGCACGTCCATCCCCACCACCAAGCAGCTGGTGTCCTTGACTTCTGTAGGCTTAACCTTTAGTGGGTCCCAGCATGATGGACCCCCAACTCTTCTGGAAAGAGAAACAGAGGAAGTGAGGAAAGGAAAGAAGGGAAGGGAGGTCAGTGAACTAATGGTCCCTATCTGGTCTGGGGTGTCACCTTTAGATGCCACCCTCACAGGTGACAGGTGAGGCAGACCCAACCTAATGGCTATGTTTTCTCCCCCTCTTCCCAGATGGTGGTCCAGAGGGAGACACACACCCTTCCACAGCCTACCTCCTGCCCTCTGCCTCGCTGGAGAGCAACATGGAAGAGAGGGTAACATCAGCAGTCCCAGGACCCCTGCCATCCCAGAAAGCACTGGAAATGCTGGAGGGGTCATTGCCCCCTGCACTCCCTGATGAGGGCAGTGTCCCGCACACCCCAGCCCTCAGGAAGGGCCTGCCGTCCCTGAAGCAACTCAACTCGGCCCGGAGGCAGCTGAGGCCCCTGGCCACCCCGACAACTCTGCAGCGACTAGGGTCCCCTGCCTCAGCCACCACAAAGCCGCGTGTGCCTGGGGACCCTGAACAGCCCACAGCGCCTGCTCCACTGCAGATCGTACCCTTCACCACACTGGTGACCTCGCTCCCGAACAGCCCGGAGCCTGCACAGGCCCCCGACGACAGCAGCCCTGGGAGCCTGCAGGACAAGGGTGACAATGAGCTGACCGGGTCCGCTTCCGAGGAGAGCCAGGAGACCACCACGTCCACCATTATCACCACTACCATCATCACCACGGAGCAGGCCCCAGGTAGGCCACACTCACCTCCTTGTTGTGCTTTCCACAGAGGGCGTGGAATCACGGCCTTGCTCCCGGAGGGAGCGCAAGCTACCGCTCCAGCCGTCCTTTTACTTTGTTTTGAGAGGGTGTGTGCGTGTGTCCACGGGTGTCCTGGGAATAAAACTCTGGGTCCAGCACATGCTAGGCAAGGGCCATACTACGGAGCCACGCCCTCACTGGAAGTGCCCTGGCTTTTCCAGGCTAGCGGCCCTTCCTGTCTTCCGGTTTCTCTGTAGAGTCAGCCAACCACGGATACAAAGATGTCAGAAAAGTTAGTTGTATCCATTCTATGAGCCCCAGGCTTCTTCCTCATCGTATTCCCTAAACCATAGGAGAACTGCTCCCACAGCCTTCTGTCGTCATGGGGAGGCAGTGTCGCTATAGATGATTGACATTGTAAGGGAGCAGGACATTCAGTTCCTACACCTCCTATAGAAGGGCTGGAGCAGGAAGCAGACTGCTGAGCCTGCTCTCCAGGCCTGCACTTGGTACCTCTCTTTGTCTGCATCCTTCTCCTATGGAGAGAGGCCACAGCTGCCAAGCGTGCATCGCAGCCGCTCTCTGTGCAAGCGAGGGTGCCCTGAAACTGCAGAACTGGGCCTCTCCATGGATAGCAAGAAAGGTTTATAGGGAACAAACTGCCAAGGCCATCTCCACCCTCTTGGAGTAGGGAGCAGAGAGAAGAGCAAAAATGTGCAAAATCACCGGATTTTGTATGACAGGGCAGGGGTCTTTGAGCTGATGCAGGCTGTGGAGATTGACACCAGGAGCCAGGTGTACTTGCCCAAAGTAGGTAAGCTTTGGGTCAGATTGTTGGAGGCTCCTGGTAATGCCACCTCCAGGCCTCTGTTTTTCTCCCAGTCAAGTCCTCTGCTTAGAACATTGTCACCAGCACCATTGTTTAGGGGTCACTGTGCTCTGTACCTCACAACTCAGGCTGTCCGCCGGGTCTGAATGTGTGTTTTGTGAGATGGCCCGACCGACCCTCCCAGTGCTTTGATCTACCTGCCTTTAAGATGAGAGTGAAAGGAGGCTGGAGAGATGGCTCATTGGTAGTGTTCAGGAGGGCCTGGGTTCGATTCCCAGCACCCACAGGGCAGCTCTCAGCCATCTATAATGGGATCTGATGCGCTCTTCTGGCCTGCAGGTGTACATGGAGATAGAGAACCATATCCATAAAATATATGTCTTAATAAATTATTTTTAAAAGATGGGAGTGGAATGCCATTCTGTCTAAGGCTGAATGGGGCTGCCCTCTGATAACCTGTAACTTCCATCAGGAGAGGACAGAGGTCAGCAGGCATCAATGAAAACAAGACAGCAATCCCTACTCAAGTTTGTGGCTGCAGGTTCTGCTCTTGGCTCTCTTGCACCTCCGCGGACACCCTTCTCAGCTTCTCTTCTCCTCCCTGTTGCCCAGCAGCAGAGTCATCCCTGGTTTTGTCTCTGTGTTGACTCCAGGGGCACATGGGGTCTGGTGGACATACAGTTAAGCCCATAGGTCGACGTCCACTCCACCGCCCACCTGTGAGCTCCTGGCCGCAGCCCTGTGTCCTGACCACAGCATTGTTCCTTCCACAGCTCTCTGCAGCGTGAGCTTCTCTGAGCCCGAGGGATACATCGACTCAAATGATTTCCCACCTCAGCCCCTCGGCAGCTTCCTGGAGTGCACATACAATGTGACGGTCTACACGGGCTACGGAGTGGAATTGCAGGTAGCCCAGTCTTGGTTGCCCTTACTGACACATCTCCTTTTCTCAGATCAGAATTATTTTGGTTGGTTTTTTAGAGTGGGACCTCCTACAAGTGCATGACCCACTGAAGCCCGAGAACACAGAGGTGACATGTTGGCAAAGCGTCGGATGCGTTACCCAGAAAGGAAGTCCCTTAACACCCTGCTTATTAAACACAAGCAGGCACCACATACAAAGCATATGTCCATGTGTGCACATGGGTACACAGTACCGCCATTCACCCCTTACAACATAGAGCACAGAAGTAAACAGCAACAAGTGCCTGGGGAAGGCGGGGTGCCCTGGAGTGAAGACACAGTGAGGAGGGAGGAAGCTGAGAGAGACCCAGAAAAAGAGCACCCTCGCTTGCCAGCTCACCAGTTCACACAGACAGGAGGGAGTGTGCTGAGTCCAAGCCACCACTCAGTAACCAGTGCAGTTGCCTGCACAGGGGCCTCTGGGTGCCCTCTCCAGCCTCACCCCTGCTGCCCCAGCTCTCTATCTACCCTGTGTGTTCCAGGTGAAGAGTGTGAACCTATCAGAGGGGGAACTGCTTTCCATCCGTGGGGTGGACGGCCCCACCCTGACAGTCCTAGCCAACCAGACTCTCCTGGTGGAGGGCCAGGTGATCCGTAGCCCCACCAACGCCATCTCTGTCTACTTCCGGACCTTCCAGGATGATGGGCTCGGGACCTTCCAGCTGCACTACCAGGGTAGGGTCCTCTGAGGCCAGTCGGGTGGAGACACTGGCCTCACTTTCCCTTAACACCTAACCACACTCTTGGGCTTTTGTGCCAGGGACCCCAGTTGCATTTTGATTAAATCAAAAGAATCCTCCTCCCTGCCTGGGAGCAATGGTTTGTTTATTTATTTATTTATTTATTTATTTATTTATTTATTTATTTTGGTTTTTCGAGACAGGGTTTCTCTGTAGCTTTGGTGCCCGTCCCAGAACTAGCTCTTGTAGACCAGGCTGGCCTCCAACTCCCAGAGATCCGCCTGCCTCTGCCTCCCAAGTGCTGGGATTAAAGGCGTGCGCCACCACCGCCCGGCGAGCAATGGTTTTTAAAGCCAAGAAGAAAACAGATAATTTTGGAACTGGAGAGAGGGCTCAGGTAAAGAGCTTGCCATGCATATGTGAGAACTGGGCCTCCATGCTCAGAACCCACATAAAAGGCAAGGCGGGGCACACCTGTAACTCCAGTGGATTCTGGGATTTGCTGCCCTACTGACTTAGCCAAATCAGCAAGTTCCAAGCCACCTTGAAAACTGACGTGGAGAAACCATGAAGCTGGCAACTCCAGCACCCAGCCTTCCCAGGGTCCCCTCTGTCCTCCGCACCAGGCTGCTGCCTGAATGTGGGTCGCCGGCTTCCCTGTCTGCAGCTCATGCACTTGCGTTTCTCCTTCCTCCCCAGCTTTCAAGCTGAGCTGCAGCTTCCCCCGCCGGCCCGAGGCCGGAGATGTCACCGTGATGGATCTGCACTCTGGTGGGGTGGCCCACTTCCACTGCCACCTGGGCTACGAACTGCAGGGAGCCAAGACTCTGACCTGTATCAATGCCTCCAAACCCCACTGGAGCAGCCGGGAGCCTGTCTGCTCAGGTATCACCAGTGTCCACCAGCCAGGAGGTGGGAGGCCACACCATATAGTGCAGTGGTCCTCAACCTTCCTAACACTGTGACCGCATGGCATGGTGACCTCCAACCATAAAATTATTTCATCGTTCCTTCATAACTGTAGTTTGCTACAATCATGAATAATAATGCAAGTATCTGATATGCAGGATATCCAATATGTGAACCCCAAAGGGGTCAATACCCGCAGGTTGAGAACCACTGCTCTAGGTCCTCTGGAGTAACCTTGGTCAAGGTTCTTATTTTCCAAACTGTGTTGTAACAAAACGCATGACACTGGCTCCTGCAGGCTTTGATCACGTTGTAGCGGTCTGTGCCACTGCCGCTCTGTCCAGCAGGAACCTTGCTGGCCAGCAATCACGCAGCAGTCTGCATAATGGCTGCCGTTGTTTTTGTGTATTCTAGACGCCAAGCCTTCGCCAGATCTACAACGCCCTGCAATCATTTTTGTTTCTGTCGTGAGGTAGCACACGTGGCTTCTGTGTCTGTCTGCTTCCACTAGTCAGGGTTTTCAAGATCCTTAGCATGGATAAGCATGCCGTTCCTTTTTGTGGCTGAGTAATGTTCCGTCATGTGTTATGTTCTGCTTTGTTTGCCTGTCCATCATGAGACGTTAGAATTAGTTCTACCTTTTATCTAAGTAACTGCTTTGCTATGAACAAGGAAATCGGTTTTCGTTTCTCTTCAATATGATCCTGAGGCGTTAACCCCGACAGGCCCACACTTCCCACAGCAGCTGCGCCATTTCACCTCCGCTCCCCACCCCCGGTGGTACAGTGGTTCTGTCCTGCCAACACTTATCAATTCCCTGTTTTCTGTGCTCTATAGCCAGCACAGTGGGTCTATAGGCATCTCGCCATGCTCTTGTTTCCTGATAAGTACCTCACAGCTCTTTTCAAACGCTTTTATATGCTTGGCAGCTGTCAGTGTGCCGCCATCTCCGAAGGAAGACTCTTCAAACCTTTTGCCTTCAAGAGGCTACTGGGTTGTTGTTTGTTCTGCAAACACTCTTTACATATGCTGAATCCAAACCTCTATGAGATACGATATATAGGCCTCTCCGCCTGTTCTGTGGTTTTCTTTTGACCTCTTCATGTGGCCTGTGGCACTACCTTTTCTCTGAGGACAAGGTCTGATTTAGCCCTTGTTTCTTCTGTTGTTTGGACTTTGCAGGTGGCTGGTGCTGTTTGGTTTTGTTTTGTTTTGTTTTGTTTTGTTTTGTTTTGTTTTGAACTCAGTCAATGTGAACCAAAAGTTGATGCCAGCCACCAACTAAGGTGGCCTGATGCCCCCTGGTGGAGAGAATTGGGTGGTGCGGGCCTGCAGGTGACAGCCAAGATCCTTGGCCACGAGGGTCTGTCAGTCGTCCTACCAACACACCCACAAGTATTCACTGGTTACTGGGTTCTGCACCCACCGTTGGAGCTGTGAGCTCCCTTGGAGTCTGCAGCTTGGTGCAGGACGTGTGTCTTAATTATTGTTCTATGGCTGTGAAGAAACACCAAGACTGAGACAACCCTTTCTTAAAAAAAATTTAATTGGGGGCTTGCTTACAGTTTCAGAGGGTTAGTCCATGATCAGTTGGTGGAAAACAGCCAGGCACGGTGCTGAGCAGTAACCGAGAGCTTTATATCGCAGTCCACGGGCAGGAGGCAGGGAGAGACTGGGCCTGCCATGGGCTTTTGAAACTGCAAAGTCCACCCCACCCTACCCCCCCCCATGACAAAATTCCTTCAACAGAGCCACACTTCCCAGTCCTTCCCAAGCAGTTCTACTACCTGGTGACTAAGTATTCAAATATATGGGCCTATGGGGACCATTCTCAAAGCACCACAATGTGTGACAAACATCTGAGCTAACATGGCGGGGGGAGTAGGGAGTGCCAGAAAGGGTATATATGCATAGTGTCACATCGCAGGTGAGGACAGGAGAAACCCCGTCACCCTAGAGAAAGGGCTCAGGGATAAGAAGTGATGGTAAGTCAGAGACCGGGGAAGGAGTCCCCAAGGGGCCAGGCTGTGGAGGCTAAGTGAAGGCAGAGGGTGGGGATTGTCCCGACCAGTGAGCTAGCCTGTGCAAATTCCCAGAGGTGAAAGGACTCAGAAGATTTGAGGAAGTCAGAATATAACACCATCGCTCAGGAAGCAGAAGCAGAAGAATCTGTAAATTTGAGGCCAGCCTGGTCTGCACAGTGAGTTCCAGGACAGTCATAGAGTGAGAGCCAATCTAAAAAAAAAAAAAATTTTAAAAAAGAAAAAGAAGAAAGAAACTATACTGACATGTCAGAAGACATGAGGGGACAGGATGGGAAGCAGCAGCCTGTTCCTCATGAGGGACCTGTCAGGGGTGAGATCATGTCCCCACCCCCCGCCACCGTGGGCACACCTCAGGTTCAGGTTGGCTGTGCCAGTTCCGTCACAGATACGTAGCACAATGATTTGAGTCTCTGACTGACAGACAGGAGGACAGTGTCCCTGGAATGGAACAGAAAGGGAATCCTGCTCTCAGAGGTGGGGTAACCGGTTTCCTGGTGCTCGCTTCACCTGCCACACAGCTGAGTGCAGGGCAGGGAGAGCTATCAAACCTCTCCACTGCCAACCCAGTCCCATCACTCTGTCAGTCAGCAGACACGCTGTGAGTATCTACTGGGTGTCGCAAACTGAGCTGCAGAGCTAAGAGAACCAAAGCAAGGAGCAGTCTTTCTTCACCCACCACGTGGAAAGTGCCCACTCCACCCACAACCCCCAACACTGGCTTCTTTCCGAATCATCGGATGCCACAATGAACGAGACATGGCTTGAAATAGCCCCGGCCTACATCCCAGTGGCTCTGCTTGTCAGCCGTGTGTCCTTGAGCAAGTGGCTTAATGCCTCTCAGCTCCTTTGACCCATTTGTGAGGGGCACAGTTGTTATTTGCTCAGTAAATGTTTCATGAAGCCAAGCCTGCAGTCCTGGCACTCGGGAGACTGAGGCAGGAGATTCACAGTTCAACGCAGTCTGGGCTACAAATGGAGATCCTCTCGCAAACTTTTAAGAAGTAACTAAATAGAAACTGATATCACTGAGCGCACACTATAAGCCATATCATCGGGAGCTGGGGTGCACTACGACCCCACTGTCATCACAGCCGAGAGCCCAAGCCGCTGTGGAAGGTGCTTTGCAGAGAAATTCTAAGCCAGCACTTGGAAGGCAGAGGCGGGCTGGTCTCAGAGAGATGTGAAGAACACGGAGGCTGGCAATGAGTGACTGAGCGCAGTGAGTGCTCACCTAGCTGAACGTAGCCTGGGCTTCCATCCCCAGCACACATGAAATCTCAGCACTCGGGATGCAGAGGCAGGAGGAGCAGGAGTTAAGGTCATCTTCACCTACAAAGTGAATTTGAGACCAGTCTGGACTACATGAGACCTTGTCTCTAAAAGAAAAAAATTAAAAATCCAAAAAAGAAGCTGAGGAAAAGTGACACCTGAGTAGGGACTCCCAGGACTCCGGAAAAGCTGGGAGCCGTGTTTATCCTCAAAGGAAGAGGCAGCTCCACAACATGACCGGTTTAATCTGGCTCCGGATGGAGACCCCAATTGTGCTTGTGTGTTCTGCTCCTCTGACCCTGGAGGAGGAACGGGGGCCTTTTGCTTAGACAAGAAAGATTCCTACATGTCCTCAACCCTCCTCAAGGACAGGGATCACCCTGGACGAAGAGGCTTTGGACCAACTGCGACCCCCTGAGAGTGAGTCCCAGCACGTCCTCTCCTCTGTGCTCTGACAGCTGTGCAGCTCCTGCGGGTCACAAATCACTTTGTAGTGTCACTTCGCCATATTATTTTAACATAAAAGTGTTATATGGCTCTGGTTAAAAGAAAATTCCAGAAACACAAATGCACAGAAGACAGAAACAAATCACTTTTATATTCGGTGGTCTCAAGCTACCTCTGTAGCTCACTCACAGGAAGCCTGTCTATTTGCTCCAGGATTCGTAAGCAGTGTCTGAGAATGCAGTGCTTGATGGCTCCGTGGAAGCCCAGTGTGTGCTTGGAGATTCATCCCGGTTCTAGTTTTGGTTTTGAGGATGAAGGCAGAGCTGGGCAGCTTCATTCACAAGTCAGATCAAATCCAAAGCTCCCTGCAGAATAAACTTGCAGGGCTCATTTCTGGGTCAGGGCGTTCTGACATAGTTTTAAAATGAGTTTTTGCTGAATTGCGCTTTGGGAAATGGTCGCAGCACACCTAGTGAGTTGCCCACTGTGCATAAGTAAAGCCATGACCCCTGCCAATTGTGCTCTGACTTTATTGATATTTTTCAGCCTGCCAATGGGTGGGTAAAAGCAGAACTCAGCTGGAGTTTCTTCGATTCTTCCGCTGCTGCGGTATCTGTGCACTAAGTCCTAGATACATGCTTCTCCTTCTGTGAACTGCTCCTATCTGCCTCTGAGAATCATTTCATAACTGAGAGTCGAGGCATCAGGCCAGGGAGGTGGCTCAATGAGTTAACGCTCTTGCTGCCAAGGCTAAAGAATGAATTCAATCCCCAAAACCCACACGGTGGAAGGAAAGAGTCAACTCCTGTGGGTTGTTCTCTGACCACACACAGAGATGGATGAATGCCTGAGTGAGTGAGTGAGTGAGTGAGTGAGTGAGTGAGTGAGTGAGTGACTGACTGACTGACTGACTGACTGACTGAGTGACTGAGTGAGTGAGTGACTGAGTGAGTGAGTGAGTGAGTGACTGAGTGACTGAGTGACTGAGTGACTGAGTGACTGAGTAAATGAGTGAGTGAATGAATTTGGATTTCCTAAAGAACATCTATGCTCAGTCTGAACATTCAGGTCCTCCTTGTCGCGGCACCCAGATGTTGGTGACTCCATGCATGGGGTCAAGTCAGCAGCCTCCCTCCTGTGTTCCCAGCTCCACCCTAGCTAAAGGGCTTGGGTGCAGCGCGGGGAGACCAAACCCGCTACCTCCTCTCTGCTCTTCCCTCACCACCTCACTTTCTGCATCCAGCCCCGTGTGGAGGAACCGTGCACAACGCCACCATTGGCCGAGTCCTCTCCCCCAGTTACCCTGGAAACGCCAACAGCAGCCAGCGCTGCGTGTGGACCATCGAGGCTCCAGCGGGTCAGAAGCTGCACCTGCATCTGGAAAGGCTTCTGCTTCAGGAGAAGGATAGGTGAGCTGTCCACGCCGCCGCCCCTCCCCACCTTAGGGCGTGCTGTGGTGTGGACTGGACCCCAGAAAGACAGCCCTAGGGGAGGATGGTAGAGAGCTTATGACTCCTGCTTCCAACCAGGAATCTGAGATACTGGGGGAGAGAAACTTGCCTGAGCCACCTAGGAAGCTAGGGGAGGATAGTGGGAATCAAGCATGCGCACAGGGGCGCGCACGGGGAGGGGGCGCGCGCGCACACACACACACACACACACACACACAGCCCAGGGCTTCCTTTTAGGCATCTCTTTCCTTAGTGGAATAAGGAGTCGCACCTCCTCTGTACAAAGACAAGATCTCCATAGAGAACAGGCATAGCACAGACAGCATTGGCCCCTGAGAAGACAGAAAACAGGGATGGAGAAACCGGGGGCTGGCAGCAACTCTGCCAAGCCTGTGTGTGCAGACCATATATAAATATAAGGAATCCAGATTCAATACCAGCATTCTAGGGCCTTATTTTAGAACATTCTAGAAAACAAGAGCCTGTCTTAGGTTGTGCTCTGAAAGCAGGTGAGGGACGGGAATGTGTGGGTGGGGAGTGTCCCTGTGTCTCAGGATTTCTATTGCTGTGAAGAGGCACCATGACCACAGCAACTCTTATAAAGAAAAACACTTAATTGGGGTGGCTCACTTACACTTCAGATGTTCAGTTCATTATCATCATAGTGAGACATGGTGGTGTGCGGGCAGACACGGTGCTGGAGAAGTCCCACATCTCGCAGGCAACAGGAAGTGATCTCGGTGTCACACTTGAACAAAGGAGCCCTCAAAGCCCGCCTCCACAGTGACACACTTCCTCCAACGAGGCCACGCCTATTCCAGCAAAGCCACACCTCCTAATATTGCCACTCCCTATGAGCTTGTGGGAGCCAATTTCAGTCTAACCACCATACCCTGGTGAGCAGTGGGTGACGTGGAAACTGCAGGAAGGAAATGCAGTATGTGGGATCAGCAGACAGATCCTGGGACAGCGGGGATCCCAGCCCCCCAATGATGGGGGAAGGACATTGGTTAATTATAATAAAGAAACTGCCTCGGCCCTCATAGGACAGAAAATTAGGTAGGCGGAGTAGACAGAAGAGAATTCTGGGAGAAAGAAGCTTAGTGAGGAGTCGCCATGATGCTCCCGCTCCAGACAGATGCAGGTTAAGATCCTCCCTGGTAAGCCAGCTCGTGGGCTGCACAGAATATTAGAAATGGGTTAAAACAATATGTGAGAGCTAGCCAATAAGAAGCTGGAACTAGCCGGGCCAGGCAGTGTTTAATAGAATACAGTTTCCGTGTAATTATTTCGGGCATAAGCTAGCCATGTGGGCGGCCAGGTGCCGGGGACACAGCCCTGCGGCTCCAATTTCAACACCCCAAGAACTCACAGTGGCCATATCAGAAGGATGAGGGAGCGGTGAATTTATCCAGAGCATCTGTCGGTCACTGTGTTCATGGTCACACTCTCGGCAGCCTTGAGATGTAGCTGGGTGGGCTACAGACTTTAGGGCTTGTGCTGAGAGGAACCAGCAGAGTCTTCGGGGACAACAAGAGTTGCAAGAGTGAGGAGGGGTAGGACCTTGGCAGCTGTGCTGCATCTAGGGCACCAATACTTAGAAATTCTGGAATCTGACACAGAGAAGGTCTGTGTCAAAAAGTCACCAAGCAGTGTGATGTGTGAAAGGGGGGCTCTCCCCCAGCTTTTCAGCAGAGCAAATGAGGTGCTCCATTGTAGTCACTGGGGTGTTTTGGAGTCAACTTGCAGTCTTTCCCAGGAAGACTGGCCCATAGCTAGGCATGCACACCTTGCTAATGGACATCTTTCAAAGCAGTCATCTCGTCTACCCCTCCTGTGTAACGCTGGAGGTAAGCAGAACTGGCATTTATTACAGCCAAGAATGAGAAAGCCGGGTTACATTGACACTGGGTGACTGTGGTCATTAACTGCTCTTGCAGAGGATCTACCTGGGTTCACTAACTTCACACAGTGCAGAGACACACAAGCAGGCACAGACACACATACCCACACACTAAATCCTTAAAAAGAAAAAAAACCATGGCACGCACCTTTAAATCCCAGCGGCCATATCTCTGTACGTTCCAGACTAGCTTGGGCTGCATAGTGAGATGCTGTCTCAAAACAAAAAGACTGCATTCAGTGACCCTGTCAGAGAAGAAATGAAGAGGGGCGGAGGAGAAAAGGAAAAGAATGAGGAAGCCATTGTGTCATACATCTGTAATCCCGGAACTCAAGAGGCTGTCAGTTCGGGGCCAGCGTGAGCTAGAGTGAGATTCTATCTAGAACAACCAAGCGCTGTTAATGTAGCTCAGGGTAAGAGCCGTTGACTGCATGTACAAGGCCTGCATTCTCTCTCCAACGCTGGTGCCAGGGTGAGGGAGGGGGAGATACAGCGAGAGACAGAGACAGAGACAGAAAGAGACCAAACAGGCCTTTCCGAAAGCTGTGCAGACTGTGACAAATGACCCAGAGACACTCCACTCTGTTGGTGTCCATGACACCTACAGAGAAGCTGAGTTGGCCCCAGGGATCCTAGCGCTCCAGTGTTGGTAGTGGTTGAAGTTAGTGGAGTGGACTTTTTTACGCACTCTATGCCAATTATTGAAGAAAAATGACTTAAACATCTCAGGGCCCTGACAAGATTCTACCCAGAAACAAGGAGGGCATGGACTTCTCAGAGGGTCGCACTAAAAGAACCCAAAAGCACGGGAGCTCCTGGGTGACAGAACTGGGGGTATCTATATTGGGGATATGGGAAGGACACAGACAGAGGTCAAGGAAGGAATCCATGCACCCCATTAGGGCTGAAGAAGAGGCTCTCGGAGGAAGAGGGAAAGACGCTGGGAAGAGAAGCCAGTCTGTCTCAAGGCGTCCTCAAGAGTGGCAGCTTCTTCTACGGCCAGAGCAGAACTATAGGAGGAGCGGAGGAGGAGCGTTTTCATAGGAGCTCCCCAAGTGACACCAGGCCCTGTAATATTTGGGCAGCCTGCATTTCTGTGAGGGACAGGGAAGACTGAAAAGGCAGGATATGAGTTTAGACAGGGGCCCAGATCAGCACTCCCATGCCCCCCTCCCCTCTGCCCACAGGGTCACTGACCCAAGAAGACAAATCAGCACCCCTCTGTCCTTTCTCTGGCCAGGATGATTGTCTACAGTGGACAGACAAACACGTCGGCCCTCCTGTACGACTCGCTCCGAACAGAAAGTGTGCCCTTTGAGGGCCTGCTGAGCGAGGGCAGCAGCATCCGCATCGAGTTCATGGCTGACCAAGGCCAGGCAGCCTCTGCCTTCAACATCCGCTTTGAGGGTGAGGAGTCCCCTGAATCTGGGCCTGGGATAGGGGATAGTCACCTCTTGTGCTGGTGACTGGTATAGCCCTTCCCCTGCTCCCTCCCTCCCTCTCTCCCTCCCTTCCTTCCTTCCTTCCTCCTTCCCTCCCCCTCTCTCCTTCCCTTCCTACCTTCTTTCCTTCTTTTGAGTCGGGGTTATGTAGGAATCTCATGTAGCTCAGGCTAGCCTCAAACTCAATGAACTTCTGATCCTCTTGCCTCTACCTTCCAAGTGCCAGGATTACAAACATGAATCACCAAGCCTAGCTCACATGACACTGAGGAGCAATCCTAAGGCCTCCTGCATGCTAGGCGAGTATTCTGCCAGTGTAGCCACAGTTACATCCCTTCTTGCTTTAGTTTGGGCTTTTTGAGGCAGAATGTCTCTAATAATCCAGGCTGACCTTGAATTCAGAATCCCCCTGCCTCGACTTTCCTGGTGAGGGGATCACAGGTGTGTGCCATCACACCGGACTTGTGTGTGTGCTCCCCATGTGACCCTCACCACACAGAGATAGGGAACTACTGTCTCCTCTCATATGAGAAAGCCAAGGAGGAAGAGAGCCGGCCTGAGCCTCTCTTAGGACATGGCGGAGCCCCTGCCACTGCTCCAAGTGATGTCCCTGTGGGGTCTAGCCTCCTTCTAAGAACAATTTGGGTCTCTCCTGCTTAGACCATGGTGTTCTGTGTTCCCTAGGGGCTGCAGCTCAGACTTCCCAGAGTGGGGGGGGGGGGCTAGTGAGGGCCAGACAATGTATATCCAATGGCAGGGCCTACAGCGCTGGGGCACAGAAATAAAAACTGTGTATCTCTGGGGTAGGAGGCAGGTCTTAGCTATATCACACACGAGAAAAATGAGGCCCCAAAAGTCCAGATGCCTGGCCCTGGTCAGAGGCACCGTTCTGTTCTGACAGGGTCTCACTCAGTAGCCCAGGCTATCCTGGAAATTGCTGTGTAGCCCAGGCTGTCCTTGAACACACAATAACCTATACCTGTCTTGGTCTCTCTAGAGCTAGGATGGCACCTCTGGGGTGCCCTGTCTTTGAGGTATTTTTCAACAGTATAGGATGTTCTTTATCTCATCTGGCCACTGCGATCCTCTGTGTCCCCACCCCAGCCTTTGAGAAAGGTCACTGCTATGAACCCTACATCCAAAACGGGAACTTCACCACGTCAGACCCCACCTATAACATCGGCACCATTGTGGAGTTCACCTGCGACCCCGGCCACTCTCTGGAGCAGGGCCCAGCCGTCATTGAATGTGTCAATGTGCGTGACCCGTACTGGAATGACACGGAACCTCTATGCAGAGGTGAGTCACCGCCTCCCACAGCACCGGAACACCAGGGCCTCCCCCTGCCTGCAAAGAACAAGATTCCAGCCTGCAATATCTGGCTGAATTACACACTGGCTTTAGGATGAGATCCTTTCCAGACCAATGATCCTCTGGGTCTGGTTGCTGCTGGTACTTGCAGGGAGTCACAAAATGGTCCATTTTAGGAGCTTCTCCTTCCTTCAGGCCCAAGACACGCAGTGCACAGCCGCTATGGCAGGAGAGCCCTGTATGGCTGTCAGATCCTATGCCCTCCCCCACCTCATATGCTGCTACAGTGACAGCTGAGTCAACAGCACACGGCAACCCTAGGGCCCTGAATGGCCATCACTGTAGACCACAACCAGGCACCTGCTGAGGGCTGCGTGTCCCTCATGACAATACCCTCTCTACAGCCACACACAGAAGACACAAGACCCATTTATGACGATGAATCCGACACAGAAGGTACATGCTCAGAGCATCCTAGGGTCACTGAAAGAGCCTGAGTGGGCTTCGCCTCCCTGTGCTCAGAGCCTAGACAATGCTGGCTGTGACAACTTTCACCCACACTGGCTTCCCACTTACTGTATTCAAGGCCACTGAGCTCTGGCTTATGGTGGAATAAAGGGTGCCCTCGCTCCTGGCAACCAGCTGGCAGTTGGCATGAAGACACAGCCTTGCTCTGGTGAGGGACTGGCCCCTGAATTAAATGTGCTACATAAACAGAGCAGAATTTCCTGAGGTTTCAGCCTTTGCCATACTGAGGACTTTCCAAGGCAGTAAACAGAATGGAACCAAGAAGGCAGCCGCCTTGTCTCTGCTTCCAGTCCAGGCCAGATCTTTAGAACCTTGAACCTGGTTGCCATCTGGGCATTCACTGGGGCCAGGGGAGGCGCTGCAAGTGGGTGTGGCGAGCTCAGTCACGTTCCATCATAATAAGCCAGTGGCCAGCAAGGGCATTTCTGGCCACACAAGGAGGGAAGCTGATGCAATAAGTTGATACACACCTCATTTAAAGCTGGCAGAACAGTGTGAGCTGTCCTCAGTGGAGAAGACACTGCCAACCTCTCCCCTCAGAGCTTCAGATGAGACCAGAGTTTCGGTCTCCACACACACAAGCACACTCACATAAATGCACACACACACACAGGTGCACCCATGCACATACACACACATGCTGTCCCCAACTCCACCCCATATGCGCACATAGTCACATTGCGCAGTGACCCATAGCTGCCGGCTTCATCCCCCATCTCCCAACCACTATGGTCTCTTGGCTTCCTCACAATGGTGTCTTTCTTGTGTCTGTCTGTCTGTCTGTCTGTCTGTCTGTCTGTTGCAGCCATGTGCGGTGGGGAGCTCTCTGCCGTGGCTGGAGTGGTGCTGTCTCCAAACTGGCCAGAGCCCTATGCAGAAGGCGAAGACTGTGTGTGGAAGATTCACGTGGGGGAGGAGAAGCGGATCTTCTTGGACATTCAGTTGTGAGTGTCTGAGGCGCCCTTCACCACAGCCCACTATGGCAGGCAGATGGGGAGGAGCTGGTTTCTGCTTTATTGGTTCAGCCAGGATTAACTAAGCACCTACTACATACCAGGGAGTGGCAGAGCCATGGGTTGTCAAAGTAACACGACCAGCAGCATATGAAGAGAGCGGTCCCTCTTCTCATGGACTCGTTCTGCTAAGGAGGCTGATGCTCGGGAGGGGGTACACAGATAAGCACTCGTGTGGCTTCAGTTCACAGCATGAGAGGGTCATGACCTAAAGGAGGGGAAGAAGGCTTCCGTGCAAAGCTCAGACTAAAGATGAGTGGAGAAGAGGTGCAAAGGTCCCTTTCTTATTTCTATTACTTTCATGTATCCGTTAGAGCATGCATGTCACAGTGGGGGGGGGTGCAGTCAGAGGACAGCTTGTGGGGGTCGATTCTACCTTCTAACAGAAGGACCCAGGGACAGTATCAGGTGACTTTACACACTGAGCCATCTTGTCAGCCACAATTTTTGAAAAGCCAAATGGCCAATGTGGGCAGGAATAAAGGAAGTCGCGCCATGTACCCCAGCCCACTATAGCCCTTCCTTGTCTGCCGTCTGAGCTAGATGTCCCTGTCAGCCAACATCTGGTCTTATTTTGCCAGACCTTGGACTACATATAGTGACAAATGGCTGGAAGTGTTTAGTGAATGGGGACAGCTGCCCTAGGCCGCTTCCCACTCTCCCTGGCCACAACTACAATGTGTCCATCCAGCACACGGCCACCAGGTCCCCAGGAGAGCAACACTGAACCCAGAGTGAAGCTGCTAGCTCTGGGGGCTTGTATCTGAGGTCATGGCCCTGCCTGGAGGGCAGCTTCCAAGAACTGCCGGAGGCGAAAGAGAAGTAGCCTCTGTTGGCCTCTCAGCCACCTCCTCCCACTGTCCTCTGTGAGATGGGGACTGGGACAGACAGTGGTGTCTGGAGTAAAAGTCTTTCTGGCAGACCCAGGTGGCTGGGAAGAGGCCAGAAGCAGGAGTCCATGGGCCTCTGGCTCTGTGAGCAGCAGGCGGGTCTCACGTAACCTAGTAGCTATATTTGTAGTGTGTATTCATCGGGTGAGGGATGGGTTTTGTCAAGGTGTCTATGATACCATGTGACTATATCCGTCCCCGCACTCTGCTTTGCCCCCATCCACTCCTTCAACTTCCCCTCAAAAAGTCCCCCTTATCTTTAAAAAAGTCTACATTTTGCATAAAGGAGGAAGTGTTGCATTTGTCCAAGTCTGGCTATTTTGCTTAACATGATGGTCTCCAATTCCATCTATTTTCGTGCAAATGACAAAATTTCATTTCTTTATGGCCGAACACAACTCATAAGAATGCCACATTTTCTTTATCCACACATCTGTCCACAGATATCAAAGCTAACCACATCATTCAGCCATTATGAGTAGCAATAGGCTCAGTTGCATGAGCTCTCTGTCCAAGGCTGGCTTAGGTCATTTGTGGTCTACCCAGAGACCTGCCTGGAATTCTTCTTCCGGTTTCTGGAGACCCGTGGTTGTCCTGGGGCCACTCCCACCTGCAATGAGTAAGTGTTCCCTTCCCCCATCCGCCTCAGCATGTATTGTCGTTCTGACTAGGTTAAGACGGCCTTCTGGTCATTTCCTTTGTGACTAAGGACCCTGAACGTTCTCATCTCTACTGCCTTGTGTTTGGTTTTGGAGAACTGTCTGTTTCGTTCGTATGCTCACTGGTTGATAAGGTTATTGGGGGCTATTTATTTTCCACGGTCTTTACAGACACTAGCTATCAATCCTCTGAGGTGACGTTGGCAAAGATCTTCCCCTCTGACTGCCATCTCTTAGTTCTGCTTCTCTTGCTTTCAAATTCTGTACAGTTCAGTCTCTTGATTCTTGGACCTTTTCCCTGAGTTGTTGGGGTATTTTCTTCCGTTTCCTCTAACAGTTACAATTTCTGGTCTTAAAGTGAAATTTGACTCACGCTGAATCGATTTGGGGTGGGGGTAGATCCCATTTCTGTTACAAGTTTCCCAGTACTGTATGTTGAAGATTCTGTTTTTTTCCACTGTGTCTAAGACCACGTGGCTGTCACTGTGTGGGTTCATTTCTGGATCTGCTATCTATTCCTCAGGTGTGTACATGCATGTGTGTGAATGCACACGTGTGTATGTGTACGTGTGTGTGTGTGATTGAACAGTCATATAAAACTGTCCCTGGAGCTTGGCCTTGGCCTTCCTGCTCCTGCCAACCCAAACGCCCCACAAATCTTGAACAGGCCAGGGACAGAATTCCACCTCCTTTATTCCCAGCTCTGTGATCCAGGCCTTCTCTCAATTGAAGTTTCTGTAATCTTCAGTGGGGGTCATGGGATATCAATGTCTATGATTCCTGGGGGTGACAAGAGTAATGAAGGGTGGATGGACAGCTAGGAAGCTGCCTAGATGAACCAGGAAGGGCGGCTAGGAGAAAGCGTTTTCCAAGAAAGGATGAAAAAGAAGGAAAGCAGGTGAGGAGAGAGAGGCCAAGTGTTCCAGCAGCAAAGACAGCTTCCATGCAAGCTGGAAGTGGAGGAGGGGTGATTTGCTTAGAGAGGCCTAGTAGCTGGAGGCGTGGGGGGGTAGGGGTTACCCGAAAAAAGGGCCAATAATGGGAGTCATCTCAGAGATCCTCTTAAATGAAGTTTTATAGAGAAACCTCCATTCTAGAGCGGCATGGGGTCTAAAAGATGGCCCAGTGGGGCTTGCCTCACAAGTGCGAGGACTTGAGGTCAGTTCTCACGCATGCGAATGTCCCCTGGGCATGGCGGCCCACCTGTAATCCAGGACTAGGGAGGGCAGAAGGGGTCCCCGAAGCAAGCTGACTGGCCAATGAGAGACTCTGCTCCAATATATAAGGTGAAGAGCCATTGAAGAAGACACTTGACATTAACCTCTGTCCTCTGCATGCATGCGCACACATGTGCACACACGTGCACTCATAAACATGTGAATATGCATGCATATGCATACACACACACACACACACACACACTGCTCACTCTTCTGTGGCTCCCTATTGTCCTTGTGATAAGGTACAAGCATACAATTCTACTTATAGAACATTTTCCTGAAGAGGTTACCAGGCAAACTCACTGAGCTTCTGTGGGTTCTTGCTTTCTTGAAGGGTCCCACCCAGCTTCAAGCCCCACTCAATAAGTTGTTGAGGATTTTCTCCATCTGTGCTCATTTGGCCTCCTCTCCTTTGCAGTTTTGCCCACTTCCAGCTGACCATATCCGTGGGTGTCTCAGCCTGGCTGAGGATGGAGGGAAAGTGGGATCTGCTTTCGACCCTGCTGTGCACAAAATACTGCATTAACCTTCAGCTTGGCACCACACTGGGTTTTATTTCCATCTCGAAGACTGTGCACGACAGAGACGCTGAAACCATTAATTCAGAGTCCTTTCCCACAGCCAGGCCAAGGCACCAGCATGGGGTGGGGCATGGCACGGGACAGGTGCTTGTCTTCTAGTTATTCAGGCAGCTGAGCTGAATGGTGGCGCCCCAGCTCCCCTGCTCCCAGAGCTACGTGTCCCTGTACAGACGGTAGAGGGGAGCTAAGGGAAGCTGTTACCTCCGGCACTGCAGAGCCAGACATGATGACATGCAGGGAGGGAGGGACCCTGGTGGGACAGCACAAGGGCAGACACCTGAGGGCAGGAGAAGCCTCCACTGGCTGTGGTCAAGCTTCTGTGGCTCTCCGGTGTGAGCCCTTTGCTTTGGGCGGTGATTGGCTCTTTTCTTATCCCTCATACTGGAGAAAGTAATGTTCTTAAGGGGCTGGAGAGAAAAGTGCTCACAAGAGTGAGGATCCGAGTTCAAGTCCCTAGGACTCACATAAAGACAGGTGAGGCAGTGTGTTTTTGTGATCTCGGTGGCCTATGGCAAGAAGGGAGGCAGAGACAATGACTCTCGCGGTCTTCTGGGCTCCTCAAGGAGCTTGGGTCGCTTCTCTGGCTCCGCCCTCTGCAGCACACAGCTTGTCTTCCAGGCCCAGGCTGGCTCCACTCCACTGCTGCTGTTCTTGGTGGCCATCCCATGGTGCTGGCGTCTCCAAATTGCTGGGGTTTCCTGAAACTGGGCTGCACTTTCACGAACAGCCTTTCCTGGGCTCTCTTCAGGGACCCCAGCCCTGTCACACAGCGCCAGGCCTCAGCTGCTCTCCATGACCCCTTCAGACCTTCAAAATTAGTAACACTTGCGTAGCATGAGACAGATATTTGGGTTCTATGTAAAAGTCAGGAAAGCAAAACAGCTAGCCATTGGTTCTTACCTCTACCTCAGTCCAAAATGGCGATCATGCCTCCAGGAATCCTCCGAATGAGACTGTCTGAGAGCTCTCTCCTCCTGTCTTATATTTCTCTCGAATGCTGGCATCAAAGGCGTGCACCACTATCGCATGGTGTCTCTGTCTAACCAGTGTGGCTAGTGGGATTAAAGGTGTGTGTCACCACTGTCTGGTTTGTAAGGCTGATCAGTGTGGCTGGTTTACTCTCTGAACTTCAGGCAAGCTTTATTTACTAAAATACAAATGAACTATCACTACACCCGTGGGTGACTCTTTGCCAAGTTCAGCTGCCAGCAGGAAGTACAATGCTGGCTGCCTCTGGACCCCAGCTTCTGTGTGCTGGCCCTGAGGACACACTTCCCAGATGATTTAATCTCGACGATGCTGGTCTCTTCTTTACCCTAGCTGATTCTTCGGCTCCAGTTCACCAGCATCCATTGTCCCAGCAAAACAAAGGTTTAACTTTAGTGGTTTGGGTCTCCTGTTGATCACAGCTGCTTCAGCTCCAGCCACATGACCCACAGATGACCCAGTACTCTCTTTGCTCTGAAACTTCCCAAGCAGGCCTCCATCATCTGCCCTGCTCTGCGGACCTCCATCATCATCCACCCTGCTCTGCAGGCCTCCATCATCTACTCTGCTCTGCGGGCCTCCATCATCCGCCCT